TCATGTGGCTTCTTACTGGCCAAGGGAACGGTGAGTACATCTGAAGGTCTAGCTAAAGATTGATTTTTATTCTTGTCAGGAGACCTGTATGGAACTGCTAATGATAACTCTTTATCCCTTTATCCTTTAAAAATAATTTAGAGCATTTTTATATTGATGCCCACACTGAGAGTGACCATTTCCTTCTAGTCCTCTCAATTACCCCCCAGATACACCTTCAACCTGATCTGGCCCCTACAGTTAATGATTTATCTTCTGAGTCCCTCCCTAGATCTATTTGGTCACGTAACCATACCAAGAGAGTCCAGCTATTAGTTACCGAGCAAGCGATTATCGACCTGCGCTCCTCTCTTTTGACTTCTTCAAACCCCACTGAAGCCGTATCTTCATATGATAATTTAGTCTTCACCTTTATTTCCCTACTCAACCCTGCTCCCATTTTGCCCTCCAGACACAAACCCAAGTATAACACATGGTACAACAGAGAATGTTTGTGTTTGAAGTCCACTCTCCATTCCATTTATCACCATTATCAGAGCCAAAAAAAGTCTTCCTTACCGAAGGTATACTTCACTGTTAAACAACAGCTGCCAGACTTAGTCAAAGCCAAGAAGCTCCAGTTTGCCAGGGACCAGTGGGAACTATTGATCAGGGCATCCAGGTCAAATGATTGTGGAAAATTTTGGGCCCTAATTTTTGGCACTTCTCGGGGAAAATTAATTTCATCACCATCAATTCCCTCCCATACCTAGTTTTCATATTTCTTAAGCCTTTTTAATGAAATTGGTGCAAGTTTCCCCAAACCCACAGAATGTGATTCCCCTGAGTGGCCACCTATGTCCCCTGAGGATATTATTACCTTGATCACTTATCTCAAACAAAAAAGAGCCCCTTGTCCTGATGCAGTCTCCCCAGAACTACTGAAGTCTCACCCAGAATGGTGGGCACCTCCTTTGGCTGCTTTATTTTCCTTAATAAATAACACTAGAATAATGCCAAAGTCATGGACAAACACAATCATGGCCCTATTTTTAAAAAGATCCTTCCTCTCCCGAAAATTATAGACCAATCAGCCTTTTATCAGTAGTTGGCAAACTTTATGCCGAACACCTTCTAATTAAACTAGATGGATGGATGACCATAACATTCTAGGACCAGAACAAATAGGGTTTTGTCAGGGAAAATCCACTCTGGACCACTGTGCAGTACTATCACACCTTGTTACTAAATACAGTGGAAAACCAAGCAATAAGCTTTTCGCTGCCTTTTTAGACCTTAAGGCAGTGTTTGATTCTTATAGGACAAGATGGCTAGAATGAATATAGATCCCAGACTGCTTTTTTAAATAAAAAACCTATATACACATACCAGTTGTCAGGTTAAATTCAATCTACAGGGAAATCTAACCCCCAAAATACCTATTCGCAAAGGTGTAAAACAGGGTTGCATCCTTGCCCCTTCACTTTTTAATTTGTTTCTAAACACCTGGCTCCATCATTATTTGAAATTGATGGACATGTTCCCAAAATTGGCCAACACCATATCCCAGTTCTTTTATATGCAGATGACGCTGTTTTACTCTCATGTTCTCGAATTGGACTGAGTTGTCTTTTACACCAATGCTTGACCTACTGTAACAACAACAGGTTAACTTTGAATTATGGGAAAACAAAGATCCTAGTTTTTTCCAAATCCTGGAAATAGTTCACATGGACAATCCAGGGAAACCCATTGAGCAGGTCTTGGGGATCAATTTCTACTACAATGGGAGCTGGGTTACTCACCACAAATGTGCTACTTCTCTAGCAAGAAACAGTGCTGAGGCCATCGCCCGCTTTTTCTACTTGAGAGGCAATAGATATGTCCCAATGGCCTTAAAAGCCTTCAATACAAAATCTACTTCACAATTTCTGTATGGCACTCCCATTTGGATAAGCACAATTAACCAATCAGCAGAGGGTTTACAAACCTTTTTTTTTTTGCAGAAAATCCTTGGACTCCCTAATTGTGTCCCATATGCTGCAATCTGTCTTGAAACTGGCCAGATGCTGCTGGAAACTTGGACCTGGCTTCTGACCATCAAATTCTGGCTGCGCTTTCTGTTTAATCCTGACCCAAATTCCTTTACCTTTTTAATGGCCAGTTTGGTGTAGTGGTTAAGTGTGCGGTCTCTAATCTGGGAGAGCCGGGTTTGATTCCCCACTCCTCCACTTGCACCTGGCTGGATGACCTTGGGCAATTCATAACTCTGGCACAGCTGTTCTTGAAAAAGAGCAGTTTCTGTCAAGAGTTCTCTCAGCCCCACCTACCTCACAGGGTGTCTGTTGTGGGGAGGGGAAGGGAAAGGAGTTTGTAAGCCGCTCTGAGACACCTTTGGGTAGTGAAGGGCGGGGTATAAATCCAATCTCTCTCTCTCTCTCCCTCTCTCTCTCTCTCTCTCTCTCTCTCTCTCATGCTGACAAATCATTATGAACCTAATTGACTGAAATTAGTCCCCCCAAAAATTAGATCCTTAGGAATACATCTAGACCTGCTTATCATCTGCCTCCACAATATTTTATACAATTAAATGAAGGCTTCTAGATATTCAATTTCAGCACCTGTGAGGCAGCCAGGAAAACCTGTTCCCCAGTTCATCTGGGATTATCCCAACCACTGGGCCAGACAGCTACTTATTTTTGTTCTCTAACTGATCACCATCAAAGAAGGGAATTTATGTTAGCCAGATTTAATGTATTGCCATCGACCATCTTCTCTGGAAGATGCCAAAAAATCCCCTATGAACTTAGGAAATGCCCCTGCAGTCAGGGTGCTATCGAATCCATTTCCCATGTTCTTTTAAATTGTCCATTTTATACTAAGATTCGAGGAAAATTTCTGGACACCCTTCTTTTTACATGGCGTGGTCTTCCTGAGAATATCAAGGTCCAGTTGCTACTCTCTGGGCAAAACGCTTCTATAACTTTTAATGTTGCTTGTTTTCTTCAATCTGTAATTTGAATCAGAGAAACTATTAATTGATCAGTTCTTTTTTGTTGGCTGTTTGACAGCCATACCTTTGATGTATTCCAAAAAAACATGCCAATAAAGGTTGTCTGTCTGTCTGATAACTCTTTTTAATTGGTTAGCTGATTTTGATCCTGATTAATTTGTACTAGTGTATACTGTAATATCTGCAATTGGGCAATTATATTGCCTTGTTCCTCAGAGGGTAAGGAACAAAATGATTGAAGAAGGTTAACATCCGCTAGTCTGGTTTGGTGGTTAAGAGCATGGACTCTAATCTGGGAGAACCAGGTTTGATTCCCCACTCCTCCACATGTAGCTGCTGCTGTGACCTTGGGTCAGTCATAAGTTCTTTCAGAGATGTTCTCTCAAGGGCAGTTCTCAAGAGAACTCTCTCAGCCCCACCTGCTTCAGAGGGTGATTGCTGTGGGGAGGGGAAGGGAAAAGGATCATAAGCCATTCTGAGACTCCTTTGGGTAGTGAAGGGCAGGGTATAAAACCAATACTCTCTTCTCTTCTTCTAAGTCCACTTGATTGTCTCACATGTCAACTTATCTAGTAAATCTGGTTGATCAGCATGGGCCTGCTTAGTTGGTGAAAATTCAATCAGAGCTCTACCAGTACTGAAAGACTGTATTCTCTTAGAATGTGTAATTTTCCTTTCCTTTTTGAACATTAGGGATAGGCATGAACTTTAGCATGAACAATTTTGGCTGGGTCATGGTTAGTGAAGTGGTGGCAGGTCAACCAGCATGCACTTTCCACAAACTTTCAAGCTGTTCATGGAGGTTTGTGCCAATTCATGAATGGATACATTTCCAGACAGACTGTCTCTGCTCAATCAAAATATTGGTCATCATTTTGACAGGCAGAGGTTCAGGAGTGCATAGAATGGCTCCCGTGCAAGCTAGAGACACCAAACTTGTCGGGGATCTCCCCCAGATACTCTTCAACATGCTCCCCAAGTTTGGTAAGGATTGGATTTACAGGGTTCAAGTTCAGCCTGCCAAAGAAGGTGCCACCTGGAAAGTGCTTTCTGGGGAAATGACAGGTAGCACCTTCTTTGGGGGGCTGTAATTCAGACCCCGTAAATCTAATCATCACCAAATTTGGATAGCAGGTAGAGAAGGGTCAGCTGGAGATCATCTGCATGTTTGGTGTCTATAGCTTCCATAGGATCCATTTTACCAGGTCACGAACCTCACAAACTGAACCAGTTAGGTTGGCTGATAAAAGCTAATGATGGTTTGTGGTTTGCAAACTGGGCACACCATGAACCACAAACCAAACCACATTTTCCCGGTTTGTGCTCATCCCTAGTAATAATTTAAACTTTTTGTTTACCAGTTTGGAATAGCCTAAAATATCCTGGTACAGCTATACACATTGGTTTCAATTAGAGAAAGTGAATCATCCACAGATGCCACTGGACTCAATAAAACAAATAAACTTAAATTCTATTGATGTTAAAAGGGCAACTAACCACTTCATATACATTGGGACCATTTGGCAAATATGGACAAAATTTCCCTTACATGAACTGTAGCAAGGATTCAAACCCATTATGCTTTCTAAGAGCTGTTAAAACTTTGCTATTTAAGTTTACCAGAGCTCTTCTTGCCACAGAAGACCAAATCTTCTGGCCAACAAAAACATGTTGTAGATTTATGATACTACAGCAGAACTTCATAATTCCAAGCACAAACATGACAAATAGTTTGTAGACTGATTCCCACTACTTTCCCATTTTGTAGGGAACGTATGTTAAAGATACTAAAGATTCTGTCTTATATCTAGTGAAAAATGGTCTCCATAGTAAACTATTCTCCTTTGCACCTTATGGATATAATCTTATCTGTTTTAAAAGCCTATACACTACAGTCATGTAGAAAGTGATGTTAATGATATTTTCAGACCATTTAATTATAGAATGAATTAACACCAGTGCTATAGTTATTACAGATGATACAATCAGTCTTCTTGATTAATTTCAGAACTCATTCAGAAAATGACAGTACCTCTCTCCCACCTGCTGACTCCTGCACCAGTCCTACAAAAATGGATTTGTCATATAGTAAGACTGCCAAACAGTGCCTAGAGGAAATATCTGGTAAGTAACATGTTAGATTTATTTATGTAAAGCTCTCTGAGTTAGTGCAAAGTCCACATGATTTTGTTGAGCTCTTTGATGTATTGGAGATACACAAAAATGGGCAACTAGGTTGGATTATTTAAATGAGGCAATTAAAATTAATGATTTAAATAATAGCTTAAATAACATGTCTTATCAATTATTTGTTAAAGAGTACATGTTCACATGTTGCTGAAACTATCAAAATATACTGTTTTGAAATGAAACCTGACAGCTACGTTATAAACTACTGCCTTCAGCACTAAAAAATTGTATTTGCATAGAGAAAAGGTGAACAACTGTGAAATCACTGTGGGTTTTTGTGTTATTTGTTTGTTTTGTTTTTTCTCCCTTAGCATGGCAACTGGTGTGAGCTTCAGGGCAGGAACATGGGGTGGGGCATGGCATTGTGTGCACCACTATGTCACTTCAGTTTGGTGTAGTGGTTAAGAGCGGTGAACTCTAATCTGGAGAACCAGGTTTGATTCCCCACTCCTTCACATGAAGCCAGCTGGGTGACCCTGGCCTAGTCACAGTTCTCTCAGAGCTGTTCTCTCAAGAGCAGTTTTCTCAGAGCTCTCTCAGCCTGAGACGGTGTCTGTTGTGGGGAGAGGAAGGGAAGGTGATTGTAAGCCGCTCTGAGACTCCTTCGGGTAGTGAAAAGTGGGGTATAAAAACCAACTCTTCTTTTCTTCTAAAACCATAGATTTTCTGGTGATTCCTAGAGCAATCTTGCATCCCCAGAAGATGACATAGCAGCACACACAGCGCCAGCTTAAAAAAGATTCTCTCACCACTGCTCAGAGCGAAGGTGGGCAACAAGAGCAGGACACCTTTATCATAGTGGCAGGGCCTGGCAGCCCTGCACAAACAGGGTGCCACCACTGCTTCAGCATGTGCTGGGAGATTTTGAGAGTTCCTGGGGAGGGTGGAGTTTGGGGAGTATGTGATAGCACTTTTATCTGATGCAGTACAAATATCCCCTAGTCTTTGTGGGAAAGACCATAGAAATATCGGGATATTCCTGGAGCATTGTCATGGAGGCTATTTTCTGGCCTTTCCCCCTTCCTGTTCCTGAATTTCTTAGTGGCAGGGGAATGGGGCCAAGGGCAGGGGTTTGCCCACTGTGGGTACGCAAATGGCAAGGGTACTGCATCTGAAAACAGAGTTAGGTGTATTGGATTTTGAATTAAGCATGGAGAACTTTTCAGAAGGAGTAAGAGGAGAGGAATGTATCTGTATTTTCACCAAACCACGCATGATTTTTAAACCTCTGAATACCAGTGCTAGAAGAAAACATGAGGGGAAGACCTTGCCCCCTATGCTCTGTTTGTTGGCCTGCAGGTGGACCATAGGTTTGATCCAGCTGGGCTCTTCTTATGTTCATAGGGATTGTTAACTCCTTTAGTTTCAGTAACTCTTAAGGAAATTACCAGAGGGTATACCAGCATAACAGATGTCCTGCTAAAATATCCGTATCATACTTTACAAATATTCAATTATTTAATTTTCATATTTCTGCTTTACTTTGGGTATTATATTATGCTTATCGCAGGTATTATTTACCTAGACACAAGTGTAAAAAAGGATATTTTACCCCTAAGGGTAAATGATGGCAGCCTAAAGCAAGATCATAAGTAAGAGTATACAAGGCTCCAGTCTATTCTTGGGGCAGGTAAAACTTATGAAGTTCACATCCTTCCCAAGTCATTACAGGGCTATAAATATGTATAATTTGTCAAAATTATAAATATAGTGCATGACTTATTTTGCTATATTTATAATGCTTGATTCAGAAGTTATGGATCCCCCCCTTTTTTCTTTTACATAGAAAAGCATACTGAGTTTGAATTAAACATCAACATCATTTTTAAACCTGTTTATGTATTTTAAAAACCCTTATACAGGAATTCCCTAAAAGGAGAACCAGAATGATCAAGAAATTAGAGAAGCTTCCCTATCAAGGAAGAATAAATTGGGTGGAGCTTTTCAGTTTATCTCCTTCCTACATAGTATTAGAAATCAGAGTAACCCAGTCAAATTAATGGGCAGTAAATTTAGGAAAGATAAGGAAAACACTTCTTCATCTGCCACATAGGTACAAACAAAATACCAAACATACCTGTGGTGTTTCGGTTTAACTCTACTCTGTGAAGGCTCCTGGCTCTTCCCCTTTCCTTTGGGTCTAGCAGAGGTTCACATTTCACTGCAGGATGTTTGACTGAATGGACGTTTACACTGGTTTTTATCTACCCTTGGAGATACACATTTAAACTGAAATTTCCCAGAGCTAAACAGCTGGTCTAATCAGGTTTGTCTTTTTGCAGGAACAGGAGTTTCCTAAGCCAGGATTCAAGTGATTATTGTTGCAAGGGATTTTGAATTCTCAGCATGGAACTTCGCAGAAACCAAATTTAGCATGTTTGGCACAATTAAATTTAGGACAACACACACATATGATTCATAATGCTGAAGACTGAAATTTTAGTGAGCTGCAGCATTTTTGTCCTTGTGAATTAGTCCACATACATTAGAAGAAAATCATGCCAACATACTAACTTTTAAAGTGCGGGGGGGAAGCGTGGCTGTTTGCTCTGGGGCAAACTAACACGCAGTAAAGCGATCATACCTCCTGTGGAGGTTCTGTGGAGGTACCGTGGAGCTTCTGTGGTTACGGAGAGGCTTCGATCACAACACATGGCTGTGCGCAACAAAGAAGCGCGCGGCGCGGCGAACTAGTTTTCTTTTTTTGTGTTCACTACGAATGCGCATGCTCCGTTGGGTGCATGTGCGCAACCACGGGGACTTGGGGGGAAAAAAAACCTTTTTCACAAGGGGACATGGGCGGGCGCCGGATGCCACTGGAAACGCGATCAGACGCCCGCCCTTGCCCCGCAGTTTCCGGAAACTAGTACCTCCGAGGTACTAGTTTTTTGCTGCGCGGTTTCGGGAGGAAGCCTCGGTTGTGCCACAGAAGCGCTACGCTCCCCAGATGTGCTGGTGAGATCGCGCCCGGAAACTCCGCCTGTCTTCCGTATCTCTTGCGTGGCTAATGTTGCGTGTGACCGCAGCCTACATTGTGTTTTCTGGTTTAATAGGACAATTCTTGATATAAAGTGAGAACTGCATATCTTTAATGGATTTCAAGTGTACTTCAGGCTAACATGGCCACTTTCTCTGCTTTTATTTTTTTGTGCTATCAAGTGACAACCCAGAGGTAGTTTTCCATTGCCTGCCATAGCAACCTTAGACTTCCTTGACTTTACTATGATATTTTTGCATTTCTCTCTTGAGGAGATCCATGAAGATAGGGTTGCCAGCCTCCAAGTGGGGCCTGGAGATCTTCCAAAATTTCAACTGAACTCCAGACTCAGTCAAGATTTGAGTCCCGTAGCACTTTAGAGACCAACAAGATTTTCAGGATATGAACTTTTGAGAGTCAAAGCTCCTTTCCTCAGTTCAGGCCAATTGCTGTTGAATTTATTTCCAATACTTCCCTCTCAACGTATTTTGCCATATGCTTATTGCAAAAAAAGAAGCCAGTAAAGCTTGAATAACATACATTGAATAACAAGGCTCTGATTCGGTTGACAAACTGTACCTAGTCTCATAAACTGTATTTAACCCTGGCTTAGATGCCAGCCCATGGGCACTTTTGGGATTTTAAGAATGCTGAATGGGCACCAACAGGAAATGGCTGTCATGGCAGCTGGTTCTAATCACAAAATGTTGGGAAATGTGCAGTGTTCCAAGGTGCTCTCTGCAGACAAAAAAGGTGATGTCTCCTGGACTTTTCTGAAGCACCTACTGATCCAAAGTGATTGAGGAATGCCAGGATTAGCTCTTTGCTTTGAGGGAAATATGTTTTGGGGGAAAAGAAAGTCAGCAGTAGACCATGACACCCACAGGCACCACTTTGGGATTGCAGAGTTAGACGATACGGTTAAATTCAGCTGAAAGTTGGAGACTTCTCATCAGAACTGTTGTAGAGCAAGCTCCCCAATCTCCCCTTTTCTGTACACTTCCAGAACTTGTTACAAGTTTCCATAATAGGTTTCATCTGTGAGATAATCAGAAATTACTTGTTAAACTGGGACGATGATTGTTTTGAAGCTACAGCATGCAGTTATTTTCGAAGCAGGCATATAAGAATGAATCAGATGTATGCTGAAATGTGACCAATTTAAAATGCAATGGTAAGATTCTGAAAGGTCTGTTGCCTCTACCTAAACAGCCACTACTATGTGTGTATCATACAACTTGGTAATTTTAAACTTGTGCAAATACTCCTCTTCATTCAAATGTATAGCCATCTGAATAGGTTGTATATTAGCTTGTCAGTCCATGTAGACAAGCGTGTGTGGTATAAGTGCTCAAAATATCCAGGTAGAAATAAATGCTTGAAAACCTGCTACAGAATGGAGCTGCAGGTGGTAGATGCTGACACCAAAGCTAAAAGAAATTATTAGGCAAGTGGACAGATAGTAAGCAGGTTTTAATTTTTTGCTTGCACCTGATACCCCAAGGTGGGAATAGTGCAAAGGGACTCAGAAGAGAGATCAGAAAATTTTTTGGTTTAATTTTCCATAATGTCACTGTTACAAGGTTGAGGAGCTTACTATATCTCTAGTGACAGTTTAGGTAAATTGGTAAATTGGGAATGCTGTAGAAGGCAGTTGCTTTGTGTCAGCCGTGATTGCTTTATAACAATAATGTGAGTGAGTGAGGAAGGTAGGAATGTGCTAGACATGCATGGAACGGGATGATAATTAGCTAAAGCAGGGAACTGAACACCAAACTGGAGCTACAGTCAACGTTCCCTCTAAGCTGCAGAGCCTTGTGAGCAAAAATTCTACTGTGTGAGCTACTGCCATTAAAGTTGTGAGCGAGTGATATGGCTACTACCTGAATTCGTTTGCTCTGGAGCCCTCCTTCCTGAGCTAAGACAAAAATGTCTGAGCTGGAGGCTAAAAAACTGT